GCGCCCTCAGCCCCGCTCCTCCTCTCCTCCCCCAGTGCTGGCAGCCGAGGTGGTGAAGTTCTTCTTCCCCGCCATGGTGCAGCTGCACAGCTACGTGCCCGCCAGCTCCACGCCGCAGAAGTTGGCCAACTGGGGCCACCTCAACAGGTACTGGGGTGGGCGGCCCCCTCCTTGCTCCCCCTCACTGGGACCGCTGCCCCCCAGAGTGTCCCTGTTTGTCCCGGCTGGGGACCGGGCCAGGTGGGACACAGCTAAGGGTGCTGCAGGCAGGGGGGTGCCTGCCTCCCTGCCCTGGCTGCTCACGTGGCTCCTCTTCCAGGAAAGTGCTGAGTAAGCTGAACTTCTCCGTCCCGGATGACCTGATCCGGCAGGTCGTGCAGTGCCGGCCGGGCACGGTGGAGCAGGTGCTGCTCCTGCTGCGGCAGAAGATTGAGGAGAAGCAGAAGCAGAGCAGTGTGGTGCCTGGCCCAGGCCAGGTCAGCGGGGCCTGGGGGAAGGGGGGCACCTGCTGTGCCGTGTTCTGCTTGTAGGTGCCATGTGCTGTGGGCTGGAGGGCAATGAGGGCGCATAGCCACCCACAGGGAGGTCAGCTCCAGGCGTCTTTGTGGGCATCGCTTTCCCCCTGAGCACTGCTTTCTCCTCGTCACGAGGATCCCACTGCCATCTCCCCGTCTGCAGCTCTGTGGGGAAGGGTGGGGGGGGATGTTCAGGGACAGGGGAGCCCCTCGCGTGGGCAGAGCCGGGGTGGCAGCACCCAGCCAGGAGAGAGGCAGGGCTGGCCTCGCTCTGCGGCCACAGATGGCAGCCGTGCGCCATCGTGGTAAGCATCACGGCCCCGGGCCCTCCGCAGCCTTGGCTTGGCCTGGGGCAGCTCAGGAGGAGCTGCTGGGAGCCAGGGAGGAGAGGGGATGCCAGGGAGGAGAGGGGACGCCGGCTCCATCATCGCCCTTCCCCATTGCTCATCACCTGGCCCTCCTAGCTGTGCTCCCACACAAGACTGACCTGGTCCTTGCGGTGTGAGAGGAGGATGATGGTGTGAGAGCAGGATGCCGATGTGAGAGGAGGATGATGAGCCTGTGGGGTTGGGGCAGGCTGGGCTGTCTCTGCTGGTGACACCAGTGCTCAGGTCAGAGGAGGAATTCACTTTGGGAAG